TTAACTCTCCAATATAGTGGATAGCCCTGTTAGCGGGCTTGAGTCATCAAAAGCAGCAAGGAGTCACGTGGCGTAAACCCTTTAACTCCCTTAAGTTCCGTAACTAGGTGATGAGGACAGTGAACCTATCAGCTGAATTAATTTGTACAGATAAGGTTTTGCTTGTAGCCTCATTTTGAAACTGAGGATTTTAAGAACTCGGTTATGGCTTGTTGTCTGAAACCTGAACATTTTCCTTGCAGTCTCTATGCGTCAAGAGCGACATATTACCCAACTTTGTATCACACCTATGTTGAGCTGGAGAGAGCGGTGTTGACATCCAATACTAAAATCCGGGTTCCGATAGCGGCTGATGATGATGTCTTTCCATCTTTCTCTGGAGTTGGTTACGCAATTTTCCCACCATATAAGGTACTGTCGTCACTCCTTCTGGGGCGCTTTTGTGGTAATAGTTTGGGCGCTGGGGAGGATGGGAAGGGAGAAAAAGGAGAGATTCTCTTCTCTTTTCCCTCCTATTCCTTCCCATCGTTCCCTTCGTCGTGGAAGTGCGAGTTTCTCGCAAACCTGCTACGCATTTTAACTGAGATCGATTCAGGATTATGAATGCGTTGGAATGTAGCTATACGAGCTTGCCCTGATTTTTCCTGCTTCCTTTGATGTGTTTATTGTAACTTTGTTTGTTTGTTTTTTCTTTTTTGTTACTTTGTTTTTGTTTGTTAACTCTTACTTGAAACTGGATGCTGAGACAGATTTACCTGTTCCGGAGGTATTTGACGTATTTTGGTAAATTCTGGATTCTTCTCTCCCTTTCATTGTCTTTTTACATTAGGAGTACGCAGTTGTTGTGGCCATCCCCAAGACAAGTAAATATCACGTCATCTTTCACTACGCGCTCAGAAATAACCAACGTTCCTCTGCGAAAGTGGAGCTATATCTAAGAGGTACGATTTCGTATCCAAACTTTAGCTGGTTGAGACTAACGTAATTCACGCATTTTGATGGACTGTTTCTTATGGAACAAGGGTGATTTAAGGACCAAAATAGCGCACAATTTCCCCTTAATAACATCCATTTTTAAATGGCTCGGTTAAGTTGTTTAAGTGCAAGATTTGCTCAGCACTACTATTTTATTGACCTAGCAGCAAATAATGATCATAAAAGAAATAGTTATAATGATAAGGAGCGTGATTTGTTAGCTAATCACACCGCTGATTGGCTTTTTGTTTCAGCATTCTAGTGTGAATGCTTAGAAGGAAAATGGATCCGATTTAGAGGAAAGAATGGTGCGATTCGTGAATAGAATGCGCTGCTAAAAACCAGTCGGATAATTAGATTGCAAGGATTACATTAATCTCAAAACCACGAAACAAACACCAACATTTCTACATTCAGCTCCTTTATTTATTTGTTTTTCTCTAGGCTCGTTGCTTAAACCATACAACTTTGAGGTACAGTTTCCCCCACGGAATCCAAATGAACAACAAACCAAGAACTTAAGACTTACCGTAAATAAAAGAGGTGTAAACAAAGAGTTTGAGTTGGATAAAGGTGCTTGGACTGTTGCTATAACATCCCACAGCACAATGTTGTTGTTGGTAAGGATACTGAATTTGTTAGTTTGTTTGTTTTTTATTCATACATTCATCATATCACATGTAACATAGCGGGAATATATAGCTCTCAGAAGTTATGTTGTATCGTTGTTCCACCTTTTTCTTAAAGTTCATTGCACCACTCTCTCGCTGTATATCCCCGTCTCTCGTTAGGTGCTGGTACTTTACTTTCTTGAACTTTTTGTTTGTCGCTTAATTCTGCGGAACTTTTTTGCGTTCTTGCTTTTCATCCAAAGAGAAAAACTTTGGAAATAGTCCGGCGAAACAAATTTTATGAAAAAAAATGCTGTTATCATAGCTATGAAAAACGTAAAAAGCTTGACAAGTACAATAAGCTAAATAAAAATAATTGGTGCAGCAACGTTGTGATCTTCAGAAGTCAGGGTTATGGTTCCAGCACAATTTCACTGCGTCATTCTGCTGGAGGTTTTTCAACTTTGGTGCTTGAGGATAGTTTTACCCACGAGAAGCGTTTTGCAATGTTTTCGGAATTTAAAAGAACGTGATAAGGATCTGATCAAGATGTTAAGAAATTTGAAAGTTTTTCTTTTACCGAAAAAAAAGTACAAAGACAGAAGTACGCCAAAGCAGAAATCAAATCAAATCAAAACAAAAATTAGCAGAGCGAGGTTTTGATCCCCGGACCTCTGGGTTATGGGCCCAGCACGCTTCCACTGCGCCACTCTGCTTTTGATGAAAACATAAAAAGGACTTGAAAGGAAGACACGTCTAACCCGGTCATGTCATGTGAATCCCGCCGTTGAAATTTTCAATCCCAGACCGAGTTAGAGAAATACATTTTGATGTAATTTCCCTGTTTAGCGCGTGAATAACGCGCACATTAACAGTATGGCGGCTGTTTTAAATGCTAAGGATCGCCATTGATGGAAATCGGGATTTTCCAATAAACGAGCTCGGAGACATTTCTCACTTAAGACATCTTTATATCGCTGTGACATGTTGCAACACGGAACGAGAACGTTTAACAAGTTGTGTACTTGGGAATCACCGTTGGCATGTTTGTTGGTGTGCCAATCTGCTGCTGTCAATCAAATGGGTTAAAAACAAGAAAGCGTACCAATTTTGCCATTGTGCTTTTAGCATGCTATATCAGTAAACGGCCTTAAATTCTTTTTAGAGGTTTAAGTATAAAGTCCAACAATAACGATCTTAGCAAATTAGAGGTGAATTGAGCTCTTCCAAGGATTCTATTCCATCTTCATCAAATG